TACCCGACAAATTAACTCTCTCGAAGCGTTGTTGTGTCGAGGCGACCCCGAACCCTAGAGAAGCAGCGTCGAGGCCACTAACATGATTCCTTATTGTGATTAGCTGGCTAGTTCTACGTTTGCCATCTGTACCATATATAAACATGTTGTAAATATTTGCAGAAACTATTGAGCACTGCAGAGACGAAGAAACAGAAGCGATATTGAGGGACATAATCGCAAATGGAAGGGATGAAGTTGCGTCATTTCTTCTCGACTCCGTTGGTCAGCTGGAAGAACGGGGTGAAGAAGAGGGCTATGTTCATGATGGCTTCGGCCCATTAATGCCGATACAAGAACAGGACTATGTTCATGATGGCTCCGATGACACAATGGAAGAACAAGAAGGAGACCGTGCTGACTGCTCCGGTGACCGAACCGATCCCGGCGAGGTATATATATATTAGTTAAGCCCGTGCTGACTAGTTAATTGATGCTTCCATTGTTTTGGTATATGTACACATTTTAGTTACTCTCGTCTTTCTTCCTTATAATTTCTAGCCCTCCGGATCGAGCACAACTTCGGTAAGGAGACGAGGCCCGAAGAAAAAGTTGAGCTCGGATGAAAAGTTTAAGATCATAGAAATCGCGCCTGACGGCGAACCAATTGAACCCATCCGGACAAGGAAGGCATTTTCTTCTCAGTGCGGGGTTCTTGTTAGGGACAAGATCCCGATCAGCATCCAGCAATGGTATAAGCCTAAGGAGGAAGACGCTGAGGTGTCTTATGTCAATGATATGCAGAAAGAAGATCTTTGGACTCAGCTGAAGGCAAATTTCACCCTACCGCCAGAGGAGGATCCGGAGAAGCCAGTTAAAGAGGAATTAATCAAGTCTTGTGCTCTTAAGAAGATGGCAACCCTAATGAGGAGGTGGAGGAAAGAGCTGAACCAGTTTGTCAAAGATAAAAAGACACCAGAATTCATCGGCAAATATGAGAAGATCAAAGATCACTAGCCCGCATTTGTGCCCCACAAGACATCGGAAAAGAGTAAGAAGATGTCAGAGACAAACAAGAAAAATGCTGCGAAGAAGACGCTTCACCATCGCACGGGGTCAGGTGGCTACCTGCAAGCCCAGCCTAAGTGGTCCAAGGCTGAGAATGATCTGCTTGAAAAAGGGATCGAACCAGAGACAATGAGATGGCCAGACCGTTGACGGACTTGGTTCTTCGGGTCTGGCGGAACCTTGGACCTTGTAACAGGGTTTTGCCAATGGACGGACAAGCAACTGGAAATACTAGTCAAGAACCTTCGACACTATATCGATGCAGCGCAGCGAGGGACGTTCCTTCCAAACAGGGAGAAGGACGAGCTCACAATGGCCCTTGGGAATCCTGAGCACCCTGGACGAACACGAGGCACGCCAGGCTCCATTCCGTGGAAGGTTGGTTTTCCGGACGCAGGGGGTTACAAAACCCACGAGAGGAGGAAGAAACTGGAGCAGGACCAACTGCAGGCACTGCACGAAAGGGTAATGGGGCTAGAGGATCGAGAAGAGGAACGAGAAGCAGCAGATCGCAGTAAACGACCTGCCGAAGCTTCCCCCGAAGCTACCCCGCCATCTCAGCGGAGAAGCAGCGTGGCTTCCACCGAGCTGCTTCAGCCGGAGCATGTCTTGATGGCTCCTGCCAGCTATCCCGTGGATGGTATCACGGAGTCTCAAAATTGCCACATGATGGCGCGATGGATGACTTTGAAGGTCAAGGCGGCTGTTGGCCAAGTTTATCCTAGTGGACCCGGCACAACTTATCACTGCCAGCCGATTCCAAAAGGATATGCTAAGGTGATGGTGGATGAAATAACGGAGGGATTTGAGGACCTCGTGCTTGACCACCCTACTGGTGAAGGGAGACTAGGCTGGGTTCTGCTCTGAAGACTGCATGCCTATGGAAGAAGGAGCTCATCAACCTTCTGAACTGGACGCCTCCGCCTCCTCCTCCTGCTCTGGCGAGTCAGGGCACTCCGCCTCCTCCACCGCCTCCTCCTCCGGCGAGTGACGATCAGGGCACGCGTGGCGGCACTCCGCCTCCTTCTCCGGCGCATGGCGGCACTCCGCCTCCTTCTCCGCCTGCGCCGGCGCTCTCGAGCAGCCAGCAGCATCCTCCTTCTCCGCCTCGCCAGCAAGGGCGGAAGAGACCCGCCGCCGCCCCGGCTGCTCCGGCGCGTCGTACTCCTTCTCCTCCGCCTCGTAAGCAAGCACGAAAGAAGACAGACGCCGCAGCCGCTCCGTCTGCTCCGGCGTCTAGCAGCACAACCAGAGGCGGGAGGCAATACAAATACGGTCCATCATCTCTCAAGCCTCTAGAGAAGTTATCGTACGAGAGGTCCGAGGAGGAAAACGATACGATTGTGCGGACCCACGTGAAGGAGTTCTTTGAAGGGGTGAAAGCAAAGAGACATCCACCTCCGGAGGAGAAGGTAGATCCGGTGAAAGCAAAGCGCACTATCAATGCCTTGAGGAAACCACCAAAGTCTCCGTCGAGAACCAACTATGAGCGCATTATTGAACAGACATATCTCCAAGCCCAGCGGTCGGGAACTACTGCCAGTGCTAAAAGGTCAAAATAATGAGCAAAGGGGAAAAAATTGCCCAGCTCGGCGAACAAGCACAACAATCGTGCCCCCCACTCAATGTGTCTAATGCTCCGGGGACGGTGGCCGGTTATGGCAATCTTGACGATTACCTGCCTGACGATGCACTTCCTGATTTCTTGGAGGTGGAAGGACACATATACGAGTACGGGAAGCCTCTCGTCAAAAATGAAAAATCTCTGACAACAATGATGCGAAGATTCTATAATTGGTACATGGAAACCTGCAGAGAGTCTGAGGGTAAGAATGCTTTGTATCTGCATATTAAAGAGGAGCACGATCTCGTTGCAAATGATCTGTTGACTGTTCCATTTGAGGAGTTCTTCGAGTTCTTCAATCAAAAGGCCCTTGATAAATTAATGGTCTTTTGCTACTGCCTGTAAGTACTATTTCTATCATTAAGTCTCTATATATAGCTCGGCTCTTTCATTGCATGTATTTATAATTAATTATCCTCAATATATTATGCAGATTGAAGATCGTCGAGTGCAAAAAACAAGAAATTTATGATATTGGGTTCATTAACACAAATATCATAGATGTATTTCTGGTTGAAAACAACATCAAAGAGGCCGAGGACAACTTGCTACAATCGTTGATCAAAAATCAAAACAAACATACCATACTCTTTCCTTACAACGGCCCGTGAGTGTTACTGTTGTGTGCATATTCGGTTTCCCTTATTACTCAAGCGAGCTTATAATAATGTAATTGATGAGTTATGCATGCGTGCGCAGGTACCACTATATTCTTCTGGAGATTAAGCTTGAGCGTGGACTAGTAACCGTCTTAGACTCGAGATGAAAAGATCCCAAAACCTATGCGGACATCACTGAAATGCTCAGCAAGTAAGTTCAATCGATCATTATCGCACCATATCGGCAACTTTTTGTTCATTTCCTGATATCTCAAGTAATAATAATTATTTTCTTTGTCTTGCAGGGTTTGGAAACAGTTTACCGCAGAAGCTCCGGGACTGCCGAAGGAGCTGACATATAAATACCCGAAAGTAAGTACTACTGGCTAGCTAGTTGCGCGCATCTCCCGTTGATTCTATAGCTATACTTTCATTAATGCCATTTATAATGCTTCATTATTAGTTTGATTGACCTCTATTTCTCGTAAAGTGCTTGTGGCAGGAGGAAGGGAATGATTTCTGTGGATACTACGTGTGCGAGTTCATCCACACCGCGACTTTGAAAAACAAGCGGGGCTACTCTAGAAAACAATATGAAGTACGTAAGCAATAACATTCACAATTTTATTTTATTACACCATCATTTCTGTTGAGTTTCATTCATATATATGTATTAATTAACCCCCTTCTTCAAATTAGACGTGGCAGATGCGGGATGAACTCCTAGAACCAGATCGCATGAAAGCAATTCAAAAGGAATTGGCGGGATTCTTTCTTGACCACGTCATCAGTAAAGCCGGAGAATACCATGTGGAAATTGATTTCAAATGCTAGGGGTTTGTAATTAAGAGATCTTATACATATTGTACATGTATGTAGCCAGTAGCATCGGATACATGATACGAAAACTTGTTGTTCGACCAATCTCTCGGAGAAGGAGAGGTCGATCGATCACTTCTCTCGGTATGCATGACGAACTTCTGTACTGAATGGTTATCTTGATCACTTATGTATATATAGTACGTAGCGTCGACCAAGCACGGACATAAGAGAGGACACTTCTCTCTATTAATTAGCTAGCTAACACAATATATGAAACACCTAAATTAACCCCCCAAAACCCCCAACCTCCCCTCCTTTCAAAAAAAAAAAACCCCAGCCACTGGAATGCTGACGCGTGGATGCCTTTTGATCCCGGTTGGAGCCACCAACCGGGACCAAAGGCCCCCTCACTGGGCTCGGCGCACAGGGCCACGTGAAGGCACGTTGGTCCGGGTTTTGGATTGAACCGGGACTAATGGGTGGAGGTATTAGTAACAGCCCATTAGTCCCAGTTCATGAACCAGGACTAAAGGCCCTTATGAACCGGGACTATTAGGTATTTTTCTACTAGTGAGGGGGAGAGGGATAAAAGAAAGAATAAAGAGAAAGTGGTCCGGGTGGGCCGGATCTGACATGGTGGACTGCTTGGACATACCCGGACACCCTCATATGCTCCTCACGTACGGTCTAAGTTTGAGGGTTTACAAACAACGATGAGGAGAGATCCGGTTGAAGAGGACATATAGGGACAAAGTGGGTGGGAGGGGGCCCAGTTGGGTGAAATTTTTCATTCTCTCCTATTCGAGCCATATCCAGTTGAAGATGTTCTAACTAGCTTTAAAAAGTATCAAAGTATGTGATAAGAGTTGGACTTTACTCAGCAAAAATTACATAATTTTACACAATCACTAAACACGAGTGGATGCATCGTGCTGGCCATGTTTGCTGGCCTCGGAGGACAAAAGGGAAGCCGCTTCGTCGCTGCCATAAGAGTGAGAGGCGACCTTGCTGTTCATGTACACCGCATAGATAACCAGCTGGATGCCGCCCAAGAAGCAGCCTGTTCCATTAGGGACCTGCATGCATGAAGATGGTTAACATTCTGCCGTTTTCAGCAACCTGATTATAAGTACTCCTATAAGACATGTAAGTGCTTCTTATCTTACCCCGAGGAAGACATCTTTGTCGAGTACGGCATACGTGGCCCAGACGCCTCCGTTGAGGAAGAGGAAGAAAGAGAGGAAGAAGGGCATGTACTCCACGCTCCTTGAGGTGATCACCCTTCGCTGCTCCGCCACAAATTTACACACGTTTTTCAGGAGCAGTACCACGGTTGAGAGAGAATTATTAGCGGGGCAGACAGACAAAGCGACGTGGAAGTGACAACCAAGCCCGCGAAAACAGCCCGTGCAGCTGGCGGGCCTTTTCAATCAAGCTACTGGCCCACTTGCACGAGAGTGGGCATGCTAATATTCATCGTTGTCCGGATGATAGTGATGATATGCACGTAGCGGTGAGCTTTAGGAAAGAAAATCTGTACTGCAATTCGCCAACTACTAATAATTATTCGCTAGCTTAGGTCCATGCAGCGCAAAGATATCTGTCAGCCAGCTACTAATTTTGGTTGGCTGTTTCCTCTGGAAATAGTAGCTCAGACTTCAGCGTCCAATCAAACAACCCACATGAGATCTCCCAGCCAAGAAAATAAAATATAAGATTCAACATGACATCCATGGATTGCATTCTACATCTATATGACTATATTTGTTAAATGCAGATTATATGTTGACCTACGCATATGTACATCTCTTGTCTCGACGCAAGGTGTGTAGACATGCCGTACAAGAAAGTGTTAGCTAGTGGAAACTGTATAGTTTAACCAAAATCTTGCGTATCCCAACAAAATGGCTATCTCACGATGTGTGTGTGTGTGTATGTATGTATGTAGTATATGATTAGAGATGATCTTGCAGTACTTTCCCGCATCGAATTAAGATCCGGTTGCATAAAAATAAGGACCAACATAGTTTTATAAATATTACTTGTTGTATATTCCGTACTATATTATAGTTTTGTGGAGGATTGTTAGTACATTTTATTTTCCAACTCCGTATGTGAGAATTACAAAATGTGAGCCTAAATTTGACCACACAATTTACTTACACAATATAAGTTTTATGTAGCAAAAACAAACATACCATTTGACTCGTGTCCGAAAGATGTTTATATTGGTATAACTGTTGTATTTTTTCAAAAAAGGAGGGTTTAGCCCCAGCCTCTGCATCTTTCGATGCACACATCCATACTTTTGGAGTACTATACAACTTGAAAGAAGATGTTTATGGGTGTTGGTTATATCTACGGATTATTGTTTTGCGGGAAAATTACAGCTAGTACTCCTTAAAATTGAGTAGTTTTGCTCTTAGCATTGTTGCAAAGCGAGTTATTTGCTACTCCCTCCGTCTCATAATGTAAGACTTTTTTGACAATGCACTACTAGGATTTAACTACTTAAACAATTATTTTTCAATTACTTATGTCCTGTAGAAAATAAACTGTCCACGTAGCACAATTACACACCCCATATCTCAAGGCCTCTCTACGTCAGTGACAGGAACAATAAAAAAACAGAAAATATTTCTAAAAAAATATCCTTGCAACCCAATACATATAGAAACCTAAATAGCTAAGTAAAGTATATATGGTGACCAATTTATTTGTTTGTTGAATGACCTTACCACGGCAGCGAGTGGGGACCCATACATGAACACGCTAAGGCATGCACATATCAAGCCAATAACCATGATTTTCATGTCCAGCCCATCAATGGCAAATGTTGTGGCCGCGAAAACGACCCCGAAAAACCCAATGTCCAAAGCTGCCACCAACTTTGCGGTTTTAACCTGTAAAATTAATGACATTCCCACAGACAAACTATATCATAAAATTGCCAAAAAGAAATACAGTAGTGAAACTACTGTTAGAGTAACTTGAGAAAAGGTATAAAAAGTAACAACATTAACACAACTGAAACAAGTCGGACGGAAGGGAAAGAATGCGACTCAACAGACACAATTCATATGGAAGATATGTCGCGACTAAAGGTAGCCACTAATTAAATAGTTTAGAGTATGAAATTACATGAGCACCCTTATTAATTGTTTCCTTAGGCTTTGTTCGGTTAATCCCAACCCCAGGTGGATTGGAGGGGATTTGCAGGGACTTTGGCTTGCAGGGGATTAATTCCCCCTCAATCCCCTTCAAATCCACCTCAACCGAACAAGCCCTTAATGAAGAAGCAACTAACTCGGTCAAGACAAGCTACTCCCATTTACGGGGGAAGCGACTCCTATAGCTCCCTTAACGAGAAACGTTCAATTAACCAGACAGTTTCGGGGATATAATCCTGATTGTACTCGTAGTAATACAAATTCATGTGTTCAAAGAAATAGTACTCTCTCCGATCTGGATTAATTGATGCCGCCTCTATAGTCTATACAATGTAAAATGGACATTGTATAGAGGTTGCGTTAATTAATTCGGATAGAAAGAGCAAACTCAGGAGTAAATTGCTGCCTAAAAAGAAACAGATGGGTTACATTTGTAGACCGTGTGGCCTCACGTACGTACCCTTTTGCCTTTGTCGGCGGCGTAGACGAGGAAGAGCACGAGGTAGATGGTCTCCATGACGGCGCCGAAGCCGTTGACGGTGGCGACGAGCAGGCCGTCGGGCTTGGTGAGGCCGTAGTAGAGCCATAGCAGCGTGTTGAGCAGCGTGAGCACGTACGGCGCCGCCTCGAAGTCCTCCGTCGACCCGCTCCTCACGATCCTCCAGAATGTCGGGCTGCGCCGGCAATCAGCCGTGTAAGCAACAAGGGAAACAAAAGAAATGCTTCTGTGCGTATAAATGCATGCGTGAACTGGTCTGATTCCCTTCTTACATGGGAGAAATGAAGACCAGAACCGAGATGATGTTCCCTGCAACACGCAAAGATCCAAGCTGTACGGTCAAGCAACAAAGATGGGAGAGAGAGAGATAGAGAGAGAGAGAGAGAGCATACCTATGACGCCGATGATGAAGAGAGTAGAGTCCATGGCGCACAGGCGCGGGTGGCAGCTAGCCGATAAAGATAAACCCGGCTCTGGTGGAAGGGAGGAGGAGGAGGAAGAACTTAATGAGGAGGACGGAAGGACGGACGACCTCCTCCAAAATAAAAGGACGTCCATCCCATGGCCATCGTACAGCACAGCACAGCACAGCACGACCGAGCCTGCGCCTGTGCTGTGTGAGAGAGACAGGAGGCCACGAATTTGAAGCTCTGGCCCTACGTACTCCTCCTGCAGCCTCGTGCAACACGAGAACAGTATAGCTTGTGAGCAACGCCACCGGCCGATCCGGCTGACCAAAAGGCAGGCGTGCTTATTTCCCCCCGCCCTTGTTTTCTAGCTTTGCAATTATCTCCGTTTAGATTTCTTCGCCTTTGCCTGGACGGTGCTTGCCGTACGTCCTTGTGCTTGCTGCTCTACTGTTTTTTATTCCTGCTTAAGCCAACGACACAGAATCAGCTAATCTAATCTGGCCAAGGTCTGGTGTTTCTGAATATTCTGCAGACACTACTAACGGAATCACTATTTACTGGTGGTTTTCGTCATAAGCCTGAGAGACTTCGATCGCTGTCCAAAATCCAATACCAGGAGACAATTTCTGGAAACCAATTTTGGACTTCATTATTAGTAGTACTTGTTTTCATAGCAAAATTCGTCGGTTGGTCGATCAAAAGAGTGGTCCAGCCATGAACAAAGCTGTGGAGCACATTGGTTTCTTGAGCCGTCGGTTACAGCGCATCGGAGGGCTAATACTCTAGCAGCTTACTGTAGGATTGCTTGTCCATGTCTCTGGTCCTGTTGATATCTTGGCACCTACTGCACTTGCAAATGCTGCACACAAGGCACAAGGCAGCGTGAGATCCAGATCAGAACAGCGCGGCCTCGTGGGACTCAGTGAAGGTGAGGTGCTCATTTGAGCAGTTGCATTAAGAGCATTTCTAGCCGAACCACTAAAGGAGCTTAGCTCCTCAAACGATTCACTTTTGAGGAGTTAAGCCGCACATAACCAAACTCTTGTTTGGTTTAACTCCTCGAAATGTTTACAAGGAGTGTCTCTTCTCTCTCAAATTTAAGCAGCCGAACTCAAGCCTCACCAAAAGATTCTCTCTTTCCCGTGCGTCCACCTCTATCTCTAGCCTGGCCGCCTCCACGCCGGCGCCGCCCTCGCCGTGTTTCTCGCCTCTAGTGAACCCCCCCCGCACGGTGGCCGACACCCTGCCGCACGGGAGATTTTTTTTTGATAAAGGACTTTTCATTGAATAGATATAACGAGATGATACAATCGTATTGAAAGAAAACCCGGCCTCTGCATAGCTAGATGTGCACACAGCCAAAACGTCCAAAGCACCCTAAAAATAAAATAATTCGATACAAAGCCAAGCAATAAATCATGTCTAGCCTAAGGAGCGGTAGATCCTATCCGTAAATCACACCGCCATCCATGGGGGTAGAAAATCTCCCTGGCCGTACGCTCCAGCCGTGTAGACGCCATCATAAAAAGGTCCCTGTCCTCCGGCTTCTGCAGGATAGACCATGTACGGAGCCATCGTGTACAAACATGAATAACCTGCATAGGAGATGAGACACATTTACTGTTAAAAACCACATCATTCCTGGTAAGCCACATTGCCCAATATAAGGCCGCCGCTCCCACAATAATACGTGCAGAAAATTGTTTATCAATACCCCGCAACCAGTTGCCAAACATATTCCATACACTACGTGATGGGTATAAATTCAAGCTACTTGGACCATGGCCCAAACTGCCCGAGCGAACTTGCACTCAAAAAATAAGTGTTTGATAGACTCGTCATGTTGGCAAAAGACACATGTCTTGGACTCATGCCAGTTCCGTCCTACCAGATTATTTCTAGTTAGGATGACTCCTTTGTTTAGAAACCAGAGGAAAATCTTCACTCTTAGAGGAATTTTTAGCTTCCACAATTTTCTGTTATCAACCGAAATATCACAATGGACCATTGCATCATACATGGATTTCACCGAAAATTTGCCATTCTGATGCAAGTTCCAACGAAAAGAGTCCGGCTCATCTGACAGTTGAATGTCCTCCAGACGAGTAAGTAATTCATTCCATGCTGCCAAACGAGTGCCCAAAAGATCCCTACGGAAAGAAATATCGGGGTTTTCTTGTCCTAAGACTTGTTTGATCGGGACAAATTTATGTACAAGCTCGGATATTGCACCATTAGTGGGTTGTTCCCTAGCCAGGTATCTTCCCAGAAACGAACCTAAGAGCCGTCCCTAACCGAGAAGGTCCCAAATTGGAAGAAGAATTCCTTGGCCTTCATGACTCCACTCCAAAAATGTGAATCCCCAGGTTTCCAATAAATTTGAGAAATGGCATTGGATCCCACATACTTGTTGTGAATGATTTCCTGCCATACTCCATTCTCAGTGAGTAGTGTATAAACCCACTTGCTTAGAAGGGCGATATTTTCAACCTCAAGGTCTTGGATTCCCAGGCCCCCTTGACTTTTAGGTCTGCATAATACGCTCCACCTAGCCAGTCGATATTTCTTAGTTTCATTATCACACTGCCAAAAAAATCTGCATCTAAAGTAATCGAGCCGCTGTAGAACCCCTTTCGGCAGGTGGAAGAATGACAACATATATAAAACAATGTTGCTTAGGACAGAATTGATCAAGATCAATCGCCCCCCCATACGACAAGAGTTTGACCTTCCAACTAGCTAAACATTTCCCAAGTCTCTCTTTCACATGCCTCCACTCAGCGATAGTTAAACGCCGATAGTGTGTGGGGACACCAAGATACTGAATCGGAAACTACCCACGTTGGCATCCAAAGATCTCGGCATACTCTGGTGCTGATTCTGCAGCATCGTCAAAGCAAAAAAATTCGCTCTTATTAAAATTAATTTTGAGACCAGAAAGTTCCTCAAAAGCACATAAGAGCAGCTTAAGATTTCTTGCCTTGTCTAAATCATGATCCATGAATAAAATCATGTCATCCGCATATTGTAGAATGGATAGACCATCTTCTACCAAGTGTGGAATGACCCCCGCTGATTTGACCATCCAGCTTAGCCCTCTCTACCAGGGTAACTAGCATGTCAGCCACAATGTTAAACAAAATAGGAGATGCGGGGTCGCCTTGATGCAGCCCCTTCCTTGTCTGAAAATAGTTGCCAACATCATCGTTAACTTTTATGGGCACACTACCTCGAGAGAGAAAGCTCTCAACCCAGCGACACCATTTTTGCAAAAACCCCTTCATGCGCAAGGTTTGCAACAGGAAGGGCCACTTAACTTTGTCGTAGGTTTTCTCAAAATCAATTTTAAGAATGACACCGTTCAACTTTTTCCGGTGCAGTTCATGAACAGTTTCGTGCAGGACGACCACTCCATCTAATATGTTGCGTCCTTGCATAAATGCAGCTTGAGTAGGTTTTATGACATGGTCTGCTACACTGTTCAACCGGTTGGTCGCTACCTTCGTAAAAACTTTAAAACTTACATTCAGAAGGCAAATCGGTCTATATTGCTGAATACGACTAGCCTCCTTAATCTTAGGCAATAGAATAATTTCCCCAAAGTTTAAATGAGAAATGTCAAGGTCCTCGGAATGCAATTGGTTAAACAACTGAACCAAGTCGGCCTTAATCACGTCCCAAAAGCATTGATAGAACCTTGCGGGAAAGCCATCCGGTCCCGGCGCCTTGTTGTTTTCCATCTGAAAAACCGCAGTTTGAATTTCCTCCTCAGAAAAGGAGAGGTTAGGAATTCATTTTCCGCTTCTGTAACTTGAGTAATGTCATGAGTGACGGATTCGTACAGCTGGAAATTAGTTCTAGCTGAAGGCCCAAAAAGGTCTTTGTAGAACTTAGTGATATAATTTCTAAGTGGTACGTCCCCCTCTATTCGGCCTTCCTCCTGGTCAAGGGCGAATATACGCTTCTTTTTGTGCCTGCCATTGGCTAGCATTTGAAAGTATTTCGTACTATCATCACCTTGCACCAGCGAATCCGCTTTGCTACGTTGATACCATTTAATCTCTTCCTCGCGTAGTAGGCGGGCAATCTGCTCGTTAAGATTACTTTTTTGCTCAATCTCAACAGCAGACAGTGGCCTCACCTCCGCTATTTTATCAAGGGAATCGATTAAGGTAGACAAATGCATTTTTTTCTTTTTTGTAAATGCCCGCAGTATGTTTGGCCCATCCTCGAAGGAATTGACGCAATGCGCGAATTCGATTATTCCATCGTTGAATGGGTGTGTTGCCACGATGCTGGCGCGCCCACACCTTCTTAACCAGCTCATGAAAACCTTAAAAATGGGGGAGAATTTCACTTCCCCGGCCTCTGCGCCAACTAGGGACGGCTTTTTAAATATGAGTACTAGGATTTTTAATCTCGGTTATGCACCGACCCTAGTCCTCAATAAATGTGTGAGTATCAAAAAAATCTGGTCCTCAAGAATAAATAGGAACCTAAATTCGCCTCCCTGAGAATTTGAACTTAGGTGTTGAGAGTTTGTACATCCACTCTCCCAACCAGTTGAGCTAGGCTCACTCCCCTTAATCTCAACAGCAGACAGTGGCCTCACCTCCGCTATTTTATCAAGGGAATCGACTAAGGTAGACAAACACATTTTTTCTTTTTTGTAAATGCCCGCAGTATGTTTGGCCCATCCTCGAAGGAATTGAAACAATGCGCGGATTCGATTATTCCATCATTGAATGGGTGTGTTGCCACGATGCTGGCGCGCCCACACCTTCTTAACCAGCTCATGAAAACCTTAAAAATGGGGGAGAATTTCACTTCCCCGGCCTCTGCGCCAACTAGGGACGGCCTTTTAAATATGAGTACCAGGATTTTAATCTCGGTTATGCACTGACCCTAGTCCTCAATAAATGCATGAGTATCAGAAAAACCTGATCCTCAAGAATAAATAGGAACCTAAATTCGCCTCCATGAGAATTTGAACTTAGGTGTTGAGCTAGGCTCACTCCCCTTAATAATGAAGACCAGAACCAAGATGATGTTCCCTGCAGCACAGCACGATGATCTCAAACTTAATAATGAGGAGGTCGAAATTAAAGGACGATGATCTCCAAAATAAAAGGACACTAGTAGAGTGCC